AAAAATCTCGTTGTTCCCATACTTACACAGTATAAACTAGTGTTTAATGATAGTTTTATTTTTATTGCTTTGCTATCTTAGAGACAGGACTAACGTGTTACTATTACTTAAGTTATAATAACGGGAAAAACGACACTATGTTGTAATTACTTCTCAAGTGCTATTGCACCCTAAATCTTCAAACCCAAATACCTACCACGACGATGATGATAATGATGAGGAATACAACAGAAGAACAACCTCGCTATGACCTAAGGTTCCTGGTTGTTATCGATGGTCTGCCAGCTTCAAACTTCTTAGGAAATATTTGTGGCTTTATTAAAACCCATTAGGCCGCCACCAAACTGCAAGCAGGCAAAACACAAAGACCCAATCGTGGTGGTGTTTTTGTTCAAAAACAAACAGCTGGGGATTTCACCTACCTATGCTCTCCGTGGAATTCACAATTACAATTAAACTGTTATCCCCCAGTAAGTAGCATTAGCCTAAACAGTATCTCCTTACGAAAAGTGGATCTTTCTGTTACTATTCAGGAAATTAAACAAGCCCTAGAAGACGATCTCTCAACCAACACTTACGCTGTCCACAGGATCACGTTTCATAAAACCGGAAGGATTACTTTTTTCTTGAAGTAGTTGTAAACTCTCATCAGTTAGCTGATAGAGTACTCCAATGTGGCTGTTTTTCGAATACTTTCACTTCAGAGCCGAGAAACCATTCACGAAAAAGAACACTGAGCTTTCACAAACCATACCATAGATCTTCATGTCTCCACCAAGACTGCAGCTCAAAGCTAAAATACAGATCAACCAAGTCCTCACTACGGATCAAGAAACTAAAACCCTAGCTGAAGAAGAAAAAATGTGCTTTAAATATTCAGAACAAAAAGACTTTATATCAGAACATCAAACCCAGACAAAAAAAAGAAACCCAAAGCCAATGAACCCAAGCTGACTTAACCAGATAGTCTGACTCCTCAGATATCTAATGTGACAATGACAAAGACAATACCAACGCCATAGACCATCTATGCCACTGGCTTAAGATGACATCCACAGTAGTACATCAAAAGCCAAGAGAATTTCTGGTAAAAAAAAGAATTATATGAAAAATACCATTCATTTAAAAATTGACAAATAAAAAAACACCTTATATATCACTCCCTTTACTCTTTTCAGCTTTAGTTCGCCACTGAGATATTTCGATAACTATATATGTTTTTCTCGTATCCTAGGTTGGAGTATAATTTTTCGTAACCAGCCAACGAAAGTGGATTTTTTATTTTTATTTTTTTGGCTGGCTCACGTTTTCTTTCCACAGAATCTATTAATTCCTGCCACAAACGTTTTTAATATCGGATCCACTAATACCCAAAATTAGTTTCTTTCTTTTTTTTTTCTCGCAAAGTACTCAATGTATACTATCACACCAAAATCGGGACAAAGAGAAATTCTTTAATTTCCAAACAAACTAGGCCTTCCACCCAAATACCTGTTTTGATGACGACAACATTGCAACATTGGTTTCTGCCTGAATAAGGCCTCAATAAAGAAATCAAAATGTTGTCCAACTCTGTAAATAAGTAGAAGTAGTCTGCTAAAGCCAAAACTTTACCGTTTTTCATACTCTCAAAAACATTCTAGTCATTGAACTGTGTACTTATCGTGTGACAATACAACTCCCTCTATCAAATGCATAAAATTAAAATATCAAAAACACAGCCTATAACATTGCCACTTCAAGGATCCCGAAGTCCCTTAAACAGTCCTATTATGCACACAGGCACACAAATAATAATGGTACATTAAACTTAAATGTCCATAATTAACAATAAAGTAACTTTTGACAATTAATATTAACATTCAAAGACATTAAGAATTTTATGTAAATGAATGAAACAAAGTACAGTTAAAATTGTGATTAGCAAAACAACTTATTACTTATTTACTGCCTTTAAACTGTTCACTCACCAAATGTTTAGATAATTTCCTTATCTGTGGGTTATAGCACAAATACGGGATGATTTCTTGCCCTTTATCAACACTTGCTTTCTTGTCAACTGTGCTTTCTTTAAAACATACTTCTTATTTCTATTGCAGCATCCTCAAAATATAGTTCCCTTTATTTATTATCAACGACTGATTTATTACAGTCTCCGATGTAATGTCCACGTTTTCCATGCTCACAGGAGTTTCTTTCTCCTGTTATTCTACAGAAGCAGTTTCTAGCAATATGCCATTTTAAGTAACAGTTGAAAGTTAGATTGTTTCTTCCATCCTAAGTAAGCAGCTTTCTATGAAAGGATATTATGTGCAGTTTCTGAGAATATGCCCTTTTAGTTGCAATGGAAATATATTTCTTCATTTAATTTATTTCTTCCATTCTGAGTCAACAGTTGTTTAACCATTTGAACATTTCTGGACCTTCACCACAAATAGCTAATGTTTCTGCAATATTTGAGTTGAAAAGTTCATAACTTCTGGATAGTGAATTTAGTTCTTTTTCTGTAACTTTAACTGACTCACATCCAATCACTAACTAAACAATTTTCCTTAAAGAGGTTTATTTAATTCATATACTTAAATTTAACCTAATTTACATATCCTTATCCACTATAACATCTATTGAGTGGTCACATTCCTACGAATCCATCATTTCATGTGGTTCATCTGGATAAGATAACTGGACAATCCTTTTCACATCTTACACAAGTTCAGCTAAGATCTCCTCCCTACTGTGGTCCTAAAACTTGATTTAGGGAACTTTCTTATGACGTAGCACTAAAAATCTGTTTTTATAAGGTTGTCATCGATAGTTATTACAGTGCTCAGATGGACGGTTGCTTAATGCTATTAAAGCTGATCTTTTTAAATGAGCAGCAAGATGAATAACTCGTTCTTCACTATTTCATACATTCACTTTGGAAAGTCGTTCAAACTCTGCCTGATATACCTCCTTTGGTGTCTCTCTAGCATGATTGGGTAATGTTTTTGAAGTGGTCTGCTAAATTCTGTAACTTGATTTATTAATAAGGTAGTTGGAATGTCCCAGGAATGTCCTGTAATTGTATTTGGCACAGTAATGGTTGTAACTTGTGCAGACCTAATGTATTCTTCTATTCCATATTTCGTATTTAACAAATGAGGTTAGAATTGTCAAGCAGATGTGGACAGAGGTGTGGCTCGTTCTATCTAGCTAATTTCTAGATGTTTTATTCTGGTGTTGCATTCATTTAATACTTTATTTCTGTTCTTTTGTACTTCTTTGTTTTTATTGTTCTAAACTCTTTTTTTCACCAGAGGTGAAACTAATTTTACTTAAGAGTGATTGTTAGGTCTGTAGAATAATAGGTGAGTCAGTTAGGATATTTTTTACAGAATAATATTGAATCTCTGAATAACTGAGTCAAGAGAATGAAATAAAGAAACTGGGCACAAAGTAAAATATGAAATGAACAATCTTTATTTAAACACTAAGCACAAACACAGTGTGTGTGGTTGTTTTGGAGGCTGATCTCTCGCTTTTAGAGGGTCTTTCTACACAGTACTTACTCTTCCATATCATGTACTGACTGTTTAAACTCAACGTCCTGTACCTGGTAAGAAACTTCATATTTACTCAGAATGACTAGCAATATCACGTGAATGGTATTTTTTTATTCAAACACAGGTGAGACCATATCCTTGAAATACCATCTATTTTATCACTGAAGGACGTTGTTGTCGACATTCTTGCACAACGTGTAGTATTAAAACAATAAGTCCATAGGTAGAATAGGTATTATCGCATAAAGAATAACAAAAGAACAAAGGCAGCTACAACGATATGAACTTAACGGCTTTCTCGGCCAGCTGTTATGTAAGACCTAAACATGTATAGAATAAAGGATAAATTCAGAATAAATACTACTATAATACTAGAAGGTAGAAATGTATGGTATATTTAAATGTATCACAAAGTCAAAGTGACATTCCGAAAGACTGATAAATTAATTAAGCAGAAATTATCGTTGTATATAGCCCAACCAAAAATATTATTTCTCAACGAAAAGTGGCGTCTCTTTGATAATTGATTATGAATATAATAAAACGGAAAGCGCTTGGTTTTAAGTGTAAGATGCAATCATAAGTTGAATTATTAGTTAATTTAACAATGTTACCATAACTACAGCTAGTATATACACTATTTATTATAAGTACTGAAACAGTTAGGAATCGGCTAAATAATTCGGAATGAACTAAAGTTATATTGGTATTGTTTCATTCGGATTTACATTTTATCATTATATTCGTCTCAAGTATATATATTTTAATATCAAAACATAATGAAGAAAACGAGCCTAAACAATTGACCCATTGATTTGTTACGACAGCGGAAGTCACGTGACGCTGGAAGCATGCACGCTTGAGTTTCTAGAAGGATCATGACTGTTCTTGGCAACTCTAGTCTTTTCTAGGCGCCCTCTATTTTAGTATATAAGTCCGGCAAATAAAGCGGAAATATAATGTCAGATAGACAGATATAGAATAAAATAATTGAGTCAAGTGAGCGGTAGTGATCGTAAGTAAAGTGCGTGAATCGTTGTGAATTATAGCGTGTATTAAGCTAAAGCGACTGTGGAAATTCTGTGTATTGCAAAGTTGTATTGAGAAAGAATAAACTAGTTTTATTTAAGAAAGTACTTGTATCGCTGAAGTTCCTCGGGAAGAATTTTTACGGGAAATTATCAAACAAGCAGAGACGTAACAGATGCATGAATTAGCTGCAAAAAATAAATAATCAATTATATAACTAAAACTTATAAATGTAACTGCAAAGATTACTTAGTTGTTGATCTCTACTTTTTATAGGATTTTCGGTAGGAAAATAGACTTATATTTCGAAAATTTATTTTACGTTCTTTTTTTTTTTTGTAATTCTTAAACAATTTTGAAACATAATATAATTTTCTTGGGGATGATTATGAAAATATAATTTTGGATTGATCCCTTCAAATTGTAACAGAATTGTACTCGTGGATAAGCTAGTCGTTTATTCAGGTTGTAAACATTTGTAAAACTGAATTAAAAACTAATTTTGTTTTGTGTTGTTTTTATCAAATGGAAGCTTTGTATATTTTGTTTTTATTTATTAATCTGGTAAGTAATGTCAGTATTTTAAAACTGTGAAATATTTTCAAGAGCGTGTTAAAAGATATTATAAATTTCATATAAACCTGAGGTTTACGATTTGGTAATGGTATTAATTTAAATTTAAAATGTTGCCTAAGACTATTAATTGCCATTTCGTAACTTTTATTATATTGAATAAATGAATCTCAGTCCAGAGGTAAAGGTGCTTGTTAAATTGTAGTCTAACAGTAAAACCGTGACGTATCTATGTAAAGATATAGCCAAACGCTCGAAATTTTCAGTTCGACAGTATTTTGTTCTGGATTATGTTAGTGTATGAAATTGTGTGGCATGGCTTCTCATGGCGTCGGAAAATTACCCCCCAAAAAGTTCAGTTAACTATAAAATAAAATGATGCGTTTGAAAATGAAAATTGGAATGGAAGACAGTCTGAGACTTGTGGTAAACGGAGCATAGAAGTTATAGTTTGTAACTGAGTGAGTGTGATATCCCTAATAGAGAATGTGAAATAATTCTCTGTTGAAGGATATAGTGAATATTAAAATATTTAATATTATCATAATTACTAATGCTTCTTAACAGTTATACCAGGAAAATTATTACAATATACTTAAAATTACGTTGTTTTACACAAGAGATATATTGAATAGAATACAGTATAAAAGTAAAATTTGTAATGTTAAAATTATAACTAAGGAATAATATTTAATGTTATTACTCACATAATCTGCTGACATTATGAGTGGATGAAGTACACATTCTTTTTACAGATCCAGCAAAATTAATCATGTTGTGTTAGCCAACATGCATAACCTTACTTACCATCCTAAAACATGCACAAGGTTTGGCTAGTGTGCTATAAAAGTCTAATTTCAGTAGATCATTGGTATAAACTGATTCCTGGTTCATACTCTGGTTTTCCTTAGGTTCATCTAGCTGAACTGAATTTATTGTTAAATTAAATCATCTTTGAGAATATCTAAGAAATCAAGGTAACAAAATGCTATTTTACCCATCAAAACAGCCAACTAAAGCATGAAACCCAAACCTAAATGCAGCCCTTCATACCCATATGCCTACTTACTAGGATGGGACACACTGATTGAATATTTATACAGTCACTCAAGCATCTAATATTTTTATTGTACGTTACGGTTTTAGTCTTGCCATTCCTTTATATGCTACATCCAAGATAGATGATGAGACTTTACACAAAAATACCTAGTGACAACTACCACAGACTGAAACAGACAGATTTGGGATTTAGTGCCTTTCTTTTGATTTTATAGGGGTCAGAGGTAAAAATGTTTGTAATTTATACAATAGGAAGATCTCAATCTATAGATTTTGTCTATATATGTAAATGTTATAAGGAGTCGTTATTAATAGTGTTTTGATTCACACAATGCATATATCATGTTGAATAATAGATGTTATTTGCCAAAAAAATTACCTGTGAATTTTTTTCATTACGGATAAGTATTTAAGCAGAAACTCGCTGTCCTATGTGTTATAAGTTCACAATTTAATATCTTCTAGTACTCCATTCTCACAAAGAAATCTCAAGTTTATACTTGTAGCTTATGTCCTCCCTGCCTTGATTACCATTCTCTCTTGAAGACTACTCTTTTCTGAGGATTTTACTGAATAAGGTGTATGGAGGGAGACATACTGTATTTGCTTGAGAATGCTTGACTTTTATTTTATACATGGAATTGAGTAAATATACTAGATATTGTACAGATGTTTTCATTTTATTTTACAGTTTTGTACCTTCAATAGTGTCAGTAGCAAAGTAGTCCAACTGACATCAGAAAACCTAGATAATTATCTTGGTAAGTTTAAGACAAATTATATATATATATATACACACACACAGTATATTTTATCTGATGGCTAAAAGGAAAACATGAATTTTTTTTGAAGTACAGATCAACTACATGTAACGATAATTTAGACTTCTGATTATCATCAGACAAATGTATCAGTTAATACAAAAACAATTCTTAGGTTTGTAAGTGTTACAAAATTACTTTATGTGAAATACTTAAACTTTCTTATGTTTTTAGTATTTTTATATACTATTGTATATGGTATATTTATATAAAACAGCTTGAAACCAAATGTTTTGGCCACTTGCAAATATTGACAGTTACTTTAGATGTTATTTGTAAAACTACCAGTCATACTAGGGAAAAAAGCATGCTCATAGCAGATATATCTAGTAAAGTAATGTGAATTTTAAGGAAGCATTGTACTTTCTTATTTTATATTTTAAATAAACTATTAACTTTTAGATCTTTGCGATAATTATATTTCCTAATATGAACTGAAAGAAATCCCACTGAAAGAGGCATGACAGTGATGTGCAACAAGCTCCCGAAAAAAGCCCTATATAAATCAATTATCATCGTATGATTTTTTTCCATAAAATTTTGGGCTTGCTGACAACTTTTTTATATGATTTTGAACATTGTTTACAACTACTCTAAATATTTATAATTATCTGCATCATCAACTGACAAAAACAGTGTCCATTGATGGTCACTGACTAAACACCAGAACCCATTGGCTTTTTGTCAGCTTGTCGCCACTAATTTTTAGTCCTATTATTAGCTTTAATAATCATAAATGTAGAAAAATGATACATACAAAAAAAATTGGATTAGAGAAAACATGTATTTAGAAATAAAGAACTGATCTTGTGGTCTCTGATAATTTTAGTGTTACAGTGTGTACATATATACATTATCTGTCCCATAGTTTTTTGTTTTTTTCTTGAACAATGAAAAGTATAAAAGCTAATTAATTATTTAGTTCTGTTGATGACTAAATCAAGGTTGTGTATTTATATTAATATACAGTATGTATTGTTTGGTTGAGTATTTATTCTTGTACCTATAATTTAAACTATATGGTAGTATTCACAACCATATCAGATTCCATATACATCTATCTATTTTCTCAAATAGTAACTGATCATATCAATGATTGATAAACAGTAGGGTTTTATCCAAGAAATTGAGTGCATGTATTAGGACATAGGAACTTCATACTGGAGAGAGAGAGAGAAAAAAAAAGGTGATGCATGCACTGTTGATCTGTTATTTAATATTCCAAGAAACTTTAAAAACTTTCTTTGTTTTGTTAATGGAATTTTATTATTTTTATCCTTATGTGATTTGTGGGAAACAACTATTTGTACTGGAATGTTATTTTGGGGACTGAAAATGAGGCCCAGTTAAACCCCCATGAAAAGGCCTTAATAAAATCCCAATCTGAGTATTACATTTAAAAAATATACAGGACTTGTATTTTTTATACCATGTAAACTTAAGATTAATTTAGAGGTTTGGTATCCATTGTGATAAACAGATAAGTTATTATGAACCAGGTAGTTCTAAAAAATATTCATAAAGTTCCAGAAGCTTTTAAAGAAATAAAAATTATTTTGTGATAAACACGTAAACTTAATTTCATAATCAACTCAATTACTATGAATTTTAACATTTTCATTAAATAATTTACAAATTTGTGTACACCTTCTGCATGTTCTATAGACTTTAAACTCGTACTGTTCTATGAATGTATGTTATTGTTTAGTAATCAGACTGTTGGGACAAACATATTCAGCATACTTGCTTTATGTTAATGTGTAGTCACACCCTGAACTTGTCTGCTCTGTGAAATAGTTTTATGTTACTTTTTAATTCTTCTTTTTGAACTTTTATATTATTGTCTAATAATCTTACCTACTAAAGTTGGACTGTTGGTTTGGACATTTTCCGTGTTCTTGTCGTATGTTACTTGTTTCTTTCTTAATGATAATGTTTTTCACAGATGATCTACTGGATTTTGTTAATATTTAGTTACCATCTTGAGAATTCCACTTAACCTAGCTCAGATCATCATTTAAAACTAATGCATATCAAGTCTTGTAATGCACACACAACACAAATAAAGCATACCCCATGAACGTACAGCTCACTGTGTCGTCATCTTGCTATCACGTTTGTAGTCAACATATGAATAGAAGAACAGATAGCATTTGATGTCACTCTGATAATGTATAAGGTGTTGAGCATAAAGCTTTGCTGTGTGTAAAGGCACAGAAGTTTGGATTCTTAAGGGGATGGGGTAGGGATCATTGTGAACAAGGTATTCAAATTATTGTGTTTTATTATTTGTATTAGTCTGACTGACATTACAAGCAATATTAGTACGTGTAACTTAAAGTTTATACATTCTTTTAATTTCTAAAGATAAAAATAAAGAAATGAAAATATGTTTTTTTTTCAAAGAGTTGCTATTTTGACTTAATAATTTATTACTTTTGGAGGTATATAAAGAAGTATGGGAAAGTTCAGTCACATTTTCTTTGGGTTAAATTCCTATTAGTCAAATCCCACTCATAAAATACTTAGAAGACTTATTTTTATTCTAAGAGAAAACAATCGGACAAAAGGAAATTTATTAAAATAAGTACACACAAAACATTAACTTATTCTGGAAGGGTCCTAAATGTAGACAGTAAACATGGGTTGTTTCTGTGATAATATTTTAGTCTTGTACAGTAACCATCAACACTCCTAATGTAGGCTCACATACAATTAAAAAAATACCTATTATTAAGTATTTTTCAAGCTTCCTGATTTAATTTTTTGCTGTAAAAAAATTAGCCTTTAAAATTTCTTTCTTTTGCATTTAGATTTTATTTTTGTGTACAGTATTTTGTAGAATGCTATTTTTTTAAACTATTTGAATATGTATTACAATTTAGGTACTGTAGATCAGTAAAAAAGAAAAAGTTATTGGTCAGTTGCATATTTCATGTTTATATTTTCTCCTTTTGCAGGAAGCTATGAATTAGTATTTATAAATTTTTATACTGATTGGTGCAAGTTTAGTCAGATTTTAGCACCAATTTTTGATGAAGCAGCAGACCGTGTAACGAACGAGATTCAAGTGAGTTGGACGACACTTTTTTATTTCAATACTTAACATCACTACTTAAGAGTTTTAGATAAGCTTTTTTTAAAACATTTATTTTCAATAAGCACATTAGCAGAACCATTTTCAGCAAAATTACAACAATGTGTAATGTTTTGTCATTGGGGTATTTTGTCAGTGATGTTACCCAGTTATCTACTACGAGAAGCAACTTGTTTGCAAGGTAGTCGATAATTGACTGTGACCTCTTACTTGATGCACCTTTCAAGATAAACAGTAACTGTCAATCAGCACAATAATTAAACTAAAGGATACTTACTTGAACTTGCTTACATGTTAAAGTATAAGCAGAGCTCACCATAGGATTTCAGAACTGGGGGTGTCTAATTGTGAGGGTGAAACTTTGAAATTAGGGACAAAATTAGTGCCAAAGCTGATGACCCTATAACAATTATGCTTTGCCTTCATATTATAGTGATACCCTGTTAATTTTGTGCCTGTTCAATATGTATGCATGTGTGTGTGTGTTGATGTTTGTAACTTTATGGTGGTGGTTGGGGGGCAGTGAAAAATGGAGAAATGTCTGTGACATTACTATGAACTCTGCCAAAGACTCACTTTAAAACTGGTAAAAATCATCACTTTTCTTCACTTTAAAACAAGTGTGTGTGTGTGTGTGTGTGTAATTACTATGTAGTAACTATAAGTCAGAGTATGCAATTTTAGTCTAACAATAAGACTGATTGCTGAATAATATTCATCTTCAAAGATGCAACAAATAATGGTTTATGATCAGTTTTCAACTACCTTACAAACAAATTGCTTGATAATCTGATTAATGTTATGTTTCTTTTGGTTGAAAATTGTTTAGATATGAAAGCCAGACTAACTAGACATGGCTAATTAAAGGGTGCTTGATAGCTCACCCACAAATATGCAAATCAATCTGATAGCACTCTCTCATTCATTGATAGTTGTGTCACTGAGATCTCTACATGGATGGGAAGCCACATAAAATCAAGGAGCTCTCTACTGTTAACATGGGTCAATTTGTAATGTACACAATGTATTTGTACGTAATATCTGCGTCAAAAAGTAATGTTCTTGATTTGGTGATTACTCTAGAGTGAGTAACAGTGTTACAAAACTAAAATTTGTTTGTTTGTATTTTGCTCTTTTCATATGTGGGAACTAAAATTTCTGAGTGTCAATGTACTCTTGACCCACTTTTTATGCTTACTTGGGGTTCTGGTTTATTGAGAACCCTTATTAAGTATGGTAAATGATATTGCACTGTCATTTAACATAAAAATTATTCAGTAAATCATTTTTACTGAAATAAAATTATTCAAACCATCCTTTTAATTGTTTCTGATCATTATTTTTCCACTTATATGTAAATATTTCTTAATATCAGTGTAAGAAGTAGGGTTGCTTCCCTATTTATAATACTGTTGTGGCTAAGATCATCTTGCTACACAACCTTACGTTATATAAGATGAGAGAGTAGAGAAATTTATAATGAAACTTTATTTTTCATGCTAAAAACATGCTTTATATGATGTTCTAATCTATAATATTTTCATTTGTGCACACTGTGGAAAAAGTCGTACATCTACACAGCTTAACCTTAAGGTTACCAGGATTCAGCATGGCCAGCTAAATGTAAATTTTATGTTAGTGAATATTTAGAAAATACTCACAGAATATTTTCTAAAGTTTTTATTGTTATTTTTTTTTTTGATAGGTTAAAATATTTTTACATACCAAATTTTCATGATAATTGGTAGAGAGTATGGGATGTTTGGCATTATTACTTTGTCGCTCACTTAATGATATCAAAATTAGAAGGAAACCTCATGGAATATTTGCACAGTGAAAAGAGAGAGAAATAAAATAAATTAACATTGGATAATAACAAATTTTTATTTTTTTATTTTACTAATAATTCAGCTCAGTAGAGGTGTAGCATCATAATAGACAGAAATAAATTTCAATTGGAGATGTATCACTTGCTTAGGCATGCCACCATATCACATTGCTATTCTGAGTGATCTTTAATTTGGTAAATCACAATTATTTTTAACTGACAGTTATGTTGCTTTTACTGTTAATATTTTGGAAAAATGATTTTTTTTACTGAAATGTGGAGGTTCTTTCATTTTTTCAGGATCATGGAAAAGTTTTATTAGGAAAAGTTGACTGTGATGCAGAATGTAAGTACAACATAATTTAAACTTTCAGTACTTCACTTGTGCCACATTATTATGCATCATGGGATGAAATTCACGTTAAAAATCTTTGTTTATATTTATATATGTATTTCTATTTAATTTAATATTAAACTTACAGGTTAGTTTGTATATATTTTTTCATTTAGTTAATGTTCAACTTAATATGCTATTTCATGTAAAGTATATTTTTAATCTGTTTATATTTGTAATAATACAATCATACCATAAACATATTTCAATTATTTATACTCATTTAATATCACTACTATCTACAAAAAAAAAAGAAAGCAATAAAGAATTGCTTTCGATTACAGTTGGAGATATTGAAAGAGTTATAAAAAAGTGCATTAATCCTGCTTCATTTAATTCATATTGAAATATTGACTTATATAAGATATTTTTGTCATTTTGTATTTTTTAAAGTTTGTGAAGGAGCAGAAAAGTTTGTATGTTGATGTACAACTTATTATTCCAGAATCATGTATTTTTTAGATTGTGCTATGTGTTGCAGGTTCATTTATTTTAGTAAGAATCATAAGTGTGTTTATCTTTGTTTGATGATATTTAATTACCTCGTGAGTTTTATATGAATTCTTATATATTTGTCCTTTAAAAAACAAAAAAAGAATTATGAGAGACAAGTTTTGCATGGAGCTCAAATTTAAACCTGGATCCAAAGAATCTGCTATGTAATAATATAATGATTGTATGGACTTACACGGTCACATTTTGGTCATGGAACCTGGGAGTGTCAGATGCACACTGTACCTTTTCATCCATCCATGAACATGGAATATAAATGCTTGGGATCTTTTATTTATATACCAAAGCATCCTCCATCATCAGTGATCCCAATATTTTTGAAGGACTGATTTAGAAACATGCAGCCATTGCATGTGGGTCATGAATGTTCATAGTTTGTTACACACAAGTGGCCCTTTTCCATCCATGTCCATGAATGGAAACCGGTGATTTTCCAATTTATATCACAACAATTTTTCTTGAAAATGTCTGTTCAAACAGAAAGTCTTGTTCTTGCAAACAGTTCAATAGTTGCATGTAAAAATACGCCATTAATCTTATTTTTACATAAATACCCTTTTAAATAAAACTAATAGCATAAGGAAATATTTGTTTGCTTAGCTTGCCATTAATATAAAGAACTTTCAAGTTTCGAAACAATATCTTATCTATGCACGCAGAAAAGCTAGAAAGTTATCTTCATCTCACATCTGCCTAACAGATTTGCCACTAGTGCCACAAGCCTTGAGGCAATTCTTACCTAATTTCATGTGTTTTGACATGAACTGCAAGGGTACATGATGACATCATCATGCAACAAAAGTTCTCCACCAATAGGTTGGTGAAACAACCTCCATATGCAGTATATCCCCCTAAGCTCTTGCACTCCTCATAGCTTCATTCTTTTCCTTGGAATTGTATTGAACAAATATTTTTAAACTTCTCATCTGAGTTCAGTTTGTTGAGATTTGCATTGTTAACAAAACTTTGATTTTGTTTTCTTTGGCTTTTGTTTCAAAAGCTTTAATTTTTATAGTGAATTCTCAAATCTCGGTGACACATACTTAGCCCTATGTGAATGACTTTATTTACACACAGGCCCTATTTCTACTATGGCTTCTAGATGCTTGTTCACTGTAGGAGATGTTGCAGCCATTTTTAAATGTGCTGTGAATTACCACATACTTACTGGGTCTTCTATTTCCAATTTCGTTGGCCAAAATTCCTTTTCATCATGTAGGAATGAACTATTCGACTATGACTTTAACCTGACTTGCTTATGGTAGTGCCTTACCACTTGAGAAACAACCTTAACCTTCAAACTTATTTCGTGATTTCATTCTCAGGTATGTTCTTTTCCTTATCTTTTGCCTGTTGCCTTTATTATTTCTAGTTTTTCACTCCATGATCCACAATTCTTGGGGTTTACCTTGTTTTACCTCTTTGCTTGTTATTAGGATTTATAACATTTCCTTTCTCCAATAGCTCCTTTTCACACCCAATTGTTCCCATTATGTTTGTGACTCTTTTTGTCCTGACTTGTAGACTTTCTTCCATTCCTTTTCTTTATTCGCTACTCTTGGTATGTATTTGGCCAGCTTGAGGATTGAGCATCTTACCTTCTATTTTGCTCTCTGGTTACACATTTTCATGTTTTCTTACTACCTTCCTGTATTCCCTCTCCTACTTACTTTTTTGTATCATATATAGTAAGTTAAATATGGGTGTGTTGGGCTAAGGATTCTTCTACAATAGGTGTCTGTGACTTGTTGGGGATAAATTTGACGATAAATGAACAGCACGCACCCTGCTTGTTTTAAAATAATATATTCAAAACAAGTTAAATGTATAAACAATAATTCTTTACACTGTGTATCTCATTATTATATCTTAAGTACTATACAGTTCTCTTCTTCTTTCAAAAGTCCACTTAGGCCAATTCAATTTGCTTTAGAATTCAGTGGACAAACCCAACTATTTTTCTCTATTTTTATCTCTAACACTATCAGTGTATAATTCACTTATTCCTTTTCCTATCTCTCTTTTTTTTCTTTTATCACAGCAGTATCAGTGTATAATTCATTTACGCTGTCATTCAGTTACTCAGTTGTATCCCAAATTTCTGATACTTTTTTGTATTTAGGCCTACTTTCAATAAACGTCTACTTTTCTCATATTGGCCAACTTCCAAATAATCATCTGCTTTTTGTAAAAGTCCACACTGGCAGTTCAATTGCTTTAGAACACCCTTTGACAAGACAAATTATTCTCCTAAAGTATCAGAAAACTGTTAATCTCACTTTAACATATCACATGTTAGGCTATTCACTCCTACGATGGCTAACTTTACATCGTATAACCTTTCTCTGACTGAAACTCTCTTTCACTTGGCTTTACTTTTGACTCTCTTCCCATTCTGTGGTCTCTCATTTGGTTGCCACTTTTTTTTATATCTTTCACTGAGAATTTCTAGAAATCTCCATAGCCTCGACATCAATAACTTACAAACACAACTTCCAACAATCAACTGCTTGTTACTCTCTTATTATAAAAAAAGCTAAACAATCATGAAATATCCACTTACAAAATAAATTAATTAAGAATACCTACACTAACAATCTTCAATATGTGACATACATCTCTGGACACCGGTATGACATCTAGCATTTAGATGCAGTACAGAATGAGGGTTCACTCCACGTTAACGTGCTTGACATTCTTGCTGTTTTTCTTGTTACTTGTCTTGTTGCCTGTCGCTTACTGGAAACTAAGATCTTGGTGGTGAACCATCACTCTTGGCCAGTCCACATTCTACCAATGGAGTGGCTATACACCCCTAAGTATTTTATTGGGTTTACTCTTGGTTGGGCACATCTCTCATAGACATCTTTGCCACGCTTTTCAATTCTGGGTTTCTTCTCGTCTGGTACTTTGTTCCTCATTCTTCAATTCTGGCTGTTGATACCCTCAGCCAGGATTGGTCTTACCTTTTTCTATATGCCTATTCCCCTCCTTGTCTACTCCCTCAAATCTTCCCCTTTACACATGACTCTCCTTATTAGGTCCTGTTGGTGGCATCTCTTTGGCCAGCTCAGCCTTGGCTTGCTTAACATTCAGACCTTCTCTTTCTTTCCCCATTATCCCCTCTCCCTTGCTTCACCCTTATGTATCTCTTTTTTTTTTTATTGAGGAATATCTTCCCTCCATCTTCATGCATGTGATTTGCCCAGTCCATTGCCTATTGGGCAGGACTTACTGATTGTGTGACATTCTTGTCACATTCGTGTTGCACGTCCACTGTGTTTGTCTATTAACAAAAGTGGTGGGTCTGTTGTTGTTAATCCATCTGCCACTCCTTTACTTCTGGCTGTTCATCCATGGTTTGTCAGTCTCTGCTTTTACTAGTTGTTGGGCAGCCTTGGCCATGGCATTTCACCTTTACTGGTACCACAAGGTGTTTTTTTTTCCCTGTCCTCTCCACTATGTTTCATTCCTTTGTTCTCCTTCAACTCCTCACCTGACTCCCATGCTTGCCTGAGATCTTAGTGGGGTTTTACTTTATCTCACAAGTGCCTGTTGGAGCTGTTGGCTTCTTGCTTTTTTGTCCCATCTTTCTCTACAGATTTATTTCCTCTTCCTATTTGCCTGTGATTATGATCTTTCGGATATATGGATGCTTTTTGCACCCTTTTCCACTGCACTTACATACTCCTCTCTTTGGACCATAATTTCCTTCCTTAGACCTCGACTGCTGAGGAAGGTAACCATACTTTCTCTCTTATCTTCTTTCCTTCTATCTCTTAGCTCTTTGATCAGTTGGACCTGGATTGGCTCATTTTGGGGTCCGCACCATCATCTGTACCTACCTTGAGACCCCTTTCCTTTTCCATTATTGGTTGTGTCCATTAACTCCTCCAGATGGTATGTTCATCTCTGGATGTAAATGCTTAAAGACTATTTCACATTTAATTTGTCATCTTTTTCATTTTCTTGCATCTCATTTTCACTGGCCCTAGGACAAGATCTTCCAGGTAGACATGTGGATGATTCTCCACATACTTGTCTTTCTTTATCTACACTATCTGGCTGTTTTTTCTCCTGATAGGTTTCAGCTTCCAGTGGTTGCCATTCTTCAATTCCCCCTACCATCTCTTTTTCAGAGCCCATTTTAATTTCATAGGATCTTGGCAGGTGGCTGTTGTTGCTTCCCAGGGAAAACTTACCTAAAATCTGCATTGAGCCAGGATAATGGAAATTGATCATACCATCTGCAAGACCACTTAAGGTACTCTTGTGGTATATATATATTTACTCAATTGTCCAATCCAGACTGTACCTTTTCCATGGATTATCATGGAAAAAGCTAACACCAGAGAAACATTATGCCCACTTCTTTGACTGCACTTGCTGGCTTTTAAAAATATAATTTTGCAGTCATTCATTGCACTGTTTCCAGTAACAGATATTTCTGGCTTGAGGTCTGATGAGGATCTGGGCACTTCTCTAGGTTGAAACATTGTACATTTGCTGTTATGTTAAACTTATATTAAAATTTTTCTTCATTACCCATTCAAGCCGTCTCCAAGCATTACTAGTCTCAAAGTGGGTTCCCTCATCATCGAATCAGACAGTCATGTTCTCATTCTGCCCATTCCTGCAACACTTAGGGCTCATTTGCCTCTTCCTCCCTTACATTCCAGGCAAAGAGTATACCCTGATTGAGTTGAGATGCAGTCTCCAATGAGTGTGCCCCTGCCATTAGATGTCACACTCCATGGGCTTCCTATCATGTGCTTTATGAAGGGAGCTTATCTATGTAACATTTGCTCCAGCCCCTCCACCAATTCAGTGTAGGATTCTAGCTTTTCTGTGTGTGTAGATGAGTTATCATCTGAGAAGTTAACATTTTCCTAATCTGAAAATGTATTTCTGATAGATATTCATCTCTTCACACATTCCCACCTGTCTTCCCCACTTCTGATACACTTTTTTTTGGTCTTGCCTCGCCAAAGAATGAAGTTATCATGAGTGCAAGTTCACAGAGGGAGTTACTGTGCATGGATATTGTTTCACCCTCCTGTCGATGGAGGGTTTTTGTTGCATGATGACATCATTATGCACCAGCACAGTTCACATTAAAATTAGGTAGGAGTTGCCTTAAGGCTAGTGCCATACAAATAACTTTGACAGATGTGCAAAGAAGATTGCTTTCTAGCTTTTTTGTGTGAAGAGTTAATTATCTATTGAAAATACATTTTCAGATTAGGAAAATGTTAACATTTAATGGTGAGGGGTACTTAGATCTTTGTTCATTTTTCTAAAGTACTCAATAATTATTTTGTTTAAATGCACTTAGTAGTGTGTCTGACAACATAGGGGTGTTTGTGTAGTTGAATTGGTAGTTTTTGGCACTATATGCTTTAATATGCATTGAATTTTGGATTGTTTATAAATTGGTTATCTATGTTTTTTAAACATTGAATCATGCGGGGCAGGCATATTCTACCACTGGATGTAAGTATGTTTTATAAATTTTGAGCATGTTTTCAGTTGTTATTAGTCAGATGTTGTATTTAGCTGGCTCTTTGTCATATTTTGGCTTTCAAATTACTTAAGTGTTTTGTCTAGTTAAGTCTAGAATCATATATCAAGCTGATATAGTTTGTTGATGTGGTTACCTGGAGGAGGGTTCCATTTAGGTATAGTTTTGGGAGTCGTCTTCTTATTTTAGAAGATTGTGTGAATAATAGGACTTGAAGAGTGGAATTCTCCAAAACTAGTATAATCTAATAACACGTGTTGATCAAGTTGTAGATTGAACTGGACCTCCCTTGAACTTAGGCTTCGAAATTAAACAAGTTTCGGAATACTAAGTTTAATTATTTTTGTTATAGGACTTGTGTTTTTATCCTTATTCTTCATTTGTTGGAGAAATATTTGATTTGGTAATGGTTGTAGATTAATAACAGCTTTGTCTGGATTAGGAAAACTCTTCCATATAGCCACATCATCTGAAAAACTGGACAGAAACTGAAATTTGCACATATTAATAGCATTTCAGTCACATACATGATGAACACAAGAGGGCTGACTCCCCCACCCCCTTGCAAGTCACCAGCCTCATTATTGATTGTATCTCTGCATTTGTCACATTTTCAAGATGGTTAAAGGTTGAAAGCTAAGAAGTTTACCTCTTCTTTTTTATTTTATGTTTTTGTAGTTTATTGTAGTGTTTATTTGGAGTAATTTTATTCTGTTTCATTTCATGTTTTGTTTGTTATTGACAAACTTATACAGGACCACATTTCCATTACAAATGCAGCCAAAGACTTTCTTACAGGAATGTTTTGCCCGGCATAGCCAGGTGGTTATGGAGCTCGACTCGCAATCTGTGGGTCGTGGGTTCGATTCCCTGTCCCACCAAACATGCTCACCCTTTCAACCGTGGGGGCATTATAATACCACTATTTGTTGGTAAAAGAGTAGCCCAAGAGTTGGTGGTGGGTGGTGATAATTAGCTGTCTTCCCTCTAGTCTTTCACTGCTAAATTAGGGATGGCTAGCACTGATAGCCCTCGTGTAGCTTTGCACAAAATTCAAAACAAACAAACAGGGATGTTTAAGCCACTTGAGTTGTTTTTGTTGAAAGATTGGTAATAGATTTTGTTTTTGTTTTTTAACAATTTGTTTTGTTTCTAAGTTTAATGACAAGTCTACTTTTGCACAGCTTGTAATTGAAAAAATTGTAAAAGGATTTAATTGTTTCATCAGCTTAATGTTTACCTTTTAAAATTAATCTAATCATATAAACTATGAATAATTTGCAAAATAATCAAAATGAAACATTAATAAAGAAGAGTGTTGTAATACAATAAACATTTAAAATGAGTTTTCATTTAAAATAAATGCAGTTGAACTGACAGAAAAAATCCTCAAACGTTTATTCACATGCTTTTATTAAAAATATCAATGTGAAAAAGTTAATAGGCCCCTCACGAGCCAGTGGGGTACATTTTGGTTAAAAAAAAAACTACCCAATCCAATTTTTCTTAATTTGAATTGAAATTTTTTGGACATTTTTATTGGCTAAAAAGAAGGCATTTTCAACACACTTTTAGCATTGTGGATTCAAAAAGTGATTTGAAGTCGTAAGATGACTGAAATCCATCAGTGTATCACAAGCTTAACAGCCATGCACAATAAACATAGAAGTGTTCAAATGACATGCAGAGGTATACAGGAACTGTTTAGAACCACCTTGGTAGATATTGTGCAGCAAGCCAAGTACAATATTATGCATGTAGTTGCTTTCAAAGTGTTCCTGTCTGCTCATCTTACTGAAATTGTTTGTATCTCAATTGAAAGCTAAACATAAAAAAGTGATAGCAGAAGCATAAAAGGTTGGCAGTTGCTTAATTAATGATGCTCAGAATGTGGTTTTATTGATACCTACTGAATTTACTCCCAGTGGGTAGACCTTAGTACTAGCTAGTATGGAGACTTGAGGATGCCATATTTTACTTAAATATTTATAAATTACCAGTGAAAACTTGTCTCGAAAAGATACATCCAAAACCACCCTCTTTGGGAGTTTCTGGATTGAACTTACTTTTAGTATTCAACAAATTGTAGTGTAAAGACACACCCTTTGGCTCCTGAGGGACGTTTTAAAAAAAAACATGATCACCACAATAAATAGGCACACACAACAAACAGTAAAAATCTTTTAATATAGAGTATGTTGCCACAGTAAATACAGAGGTATTCGCAAGTTTAGAGGTTGCAGTTGTGTAAGAGGGTGTAAGGTGATTTTAAGTGTTAAGACATATGGATAATGTTTGAAAAGCTTTGATTTTTGTAATACAGGTAGATGTTATTTTACACACATATATATAAATGTGTGGTCTAATAGTTATTTATCCCTAGCTAGCATAGCAGCCAGGTTCCACATCACCAAATATCCAACATTAAAGTTGTTAAAAAATGGAAAGTTGATGAAAAAAGAGTACAGAGGTCAGCGATCAGCAAAAGCCATGGTAGAACATATCCAAAATCTCCTGAAAGATCCTGTTAAGGAAATAAAAGATCCCAGTGATTTGGATAATATTCAGGTTTGTTAGTTGTTTTTTCATTTATTGCTAAATATAAATATGAATGAAGTTGTATATGTTATTCTACTTGAAATGAATAAATACTTGTGTATGTGTAGATTTGATGACTTTCTGTGAATGGTCTTACTTTGCTGTTAATGTTGTATACTCTGTTATGGGCAGAAATGGAACATAAATTTTACATTATTGAAACTTTTACTCTATTCAGAGAATGAAGTTTACCTCTTTTATGTTGTATAGTTTTGTTGTAGGTAGAACTAAAAGGTAAGTTTGAATTACTGAAAACTAGTTTTATTTTAGAATGAAATAGAAACTTTTAGAAAAGACTAGTTTGTTGTAGTTAGAACTGTAAGACAGATTTTGTGTTACTAAAATGTTTTCTTAAAAGCCTACATAATTGATAACATGTTGGTATCTTAACACGTAAATGATTCTTCTACTTACAATGCGAGATATATGAAAAGTCTTAAAACTTCATGGATTTAACACATTCATAGGATTAAAGAATAGTTTATGTTCAGGTGCTTTACTATGTGAGCCAGAAGAATCAATAAGCTATGGATTGTTATTTTCTTTCACACTCTTTGTAAACTAAGTTTGGATTAGTAAGCATTTGGCTAACTTAATAGTTTCTTTATTGTTTCATGTGTTGCTTTCATCTTTTCTTCAAATATTTCTTATATAATTTTGTTAGAAAGCTTATTTGTTTTCCATGAAATAAATAGATTAAATTATAAATAAGTATCAAATTTCAGATTTTTCACCATAAACATCACATTGGAGTATTTTTACATTTTAATATTTCCACCTTGTGGTGGTGTATGTTTTAAGAGTTCTTGATTTAATAGGAAAACTATGACTTTTTAGTGTTCATGCACTGATGAAGTATAAATCTGTAGGTGTACAAGTACAAACTGAATCACATGCCTTTATTTAGACTTCATTCACATGGCTGATGAAAGTTGATAGAGCTACAGTTGTGGGTGGTTAACTTATAGGTTTTCTTATCTCTTTTTACATAATATTTTGAATTTACAGCAAGAAACTTTATTTAGTAATTACTGCAGGTCATAGAAGATTCTTTACAAGATTTAGTTGTAATGCATGTTATCATAACAATATAATCAATTGCTTGGGCTCTGAAGAATACATAAGTTTCTAAACCCATTTTTATCTGTGTTCAAACCATAATAATATGCTTTTTCCTAGTACATTTCTGTCCAGATTAAACAAAAGGAATTTTTTCTGTTTAGTACTATATCTTCAACTACAAACATAACATTTAAGAAAATTGAAACATACTTTCACAGGTTTTTATATGAATGTGCTTTCACAGATTACATGTGTGAACAAAATGTCTGAGGAGATCTAAAAGCCAAAGAAGAAATTAATGTAAAAAAAATATACTATTTGTTTTGGAACAGGAAGATAAAAGGACTGGGATATTATACATCATCTCCAAAGACCAGCAGGAATATGAAGTATTTAGAAAAGTTGCCATGGATCTTCGAGATGACTGCCAGTTCTTTGTTGTGACAGGGTAAGCTGTAGCTGAAACAAAACATTTAGTATTCTGTATTCAAGTAAAAGGTTTTGAGTAAAGTTTCTAAAAATAAATAGAGTAACTAATTATGTTTCAGGATAAGATGTATTACCTCAGTTCATATTTTATCATTTCAGTATGTCTTCCTGCACATACTGAGATAGTAATGATAATATTGTAATTGTATGCCTATAGCTCTAAAATCATGTCCTGTGGCTTTGTATGTTATATCTTTTGCAGTAATCTCATAGGGAATGTTAAACAAATAATTTTCTTATTTATTTAGAGAACTTACACGATCTCAACCTAGTGGTCATAGAAGAATTGTATTCAAACCTGCCAGGTCAAAGGTTAGTGGCTACAAATATCTTCAATATGCTGCTTATGTTTGCACTAATTCTCTTCTGTATTTTGAAATGCTGATACGGGTATTTTAAAATTTATTTCATGATGATATTACTTATGTTAGGACATTACCCCTGTCTTTGTATCACCATTTAATTATAGAATAGTAGGGAAACAAAATATACAAGCATATATATATATATATATATTTATTTATTTATTTTTGTCATTTTTCAACAGGTGTGTTAGATAACATCCAGCTTAGTGGGAATGAAGAAGTGTACCATATATATATATATATATAATCTGTTTGTTTATGTGTGTGTGGTGTGTAGTTATGGAAACACACGCATGATATATATGCATGAGTCGCAAATAATGAGTAGTGGCACCTAAGTGATTAAGTTCGTAATGATACAAAACATTATTACAGAAAAGAAACAAAATTAATTCTACACCAGTATTTTGTACATGAACCCTTTGCTTTACTGCTTACAGTTTATCAACATAAAATTGTGAAACATTGTCCCAAATGTCTTTTATTACTTACTGCAATTCAGCTAAGTTGTTGTTCACTTTTTGTTCTTCCCATTTTTTAACATAAGCCTGTACAACATCAGGAATGTTCACATTGGGACTTTGTGCAGACAAAGTCATGGTTATGAGTGGTCCTCCTTACCATCAAGATATCATTTCACCACATTTGCTGTATGATTTGGATGATTGTCTTGCTTGAAGGTGAATCCCCAGCTGATGAATCATGTTCCTGAAGAGATGGAATGAGGGATCAGAATCTGTTTGTACTTGTCATCAGTCAGACTGATATCAGTTTTTATGTTAGTCACCAATGTATGCTGTTGACTGAAATCCAATCTCAGCAGCATACTGATTTCCCAACATGCTGCACTGCAGACATTGTAAATACAGTATGATATTGTTCTCCTTTCTGCTTTCAAACTGTCATTGATCATGAGAGAAAAATTCAAATTTGTACTCATCTGTTAAGAGCACATTTCTCCTGCTTTACACATTCTACTGTTTGTATTCTGAAGGCCATTTAAACCTTTTGGTTTGGTTACTTCTTTCTAGCAGAGAATTTAATGCATCTGATATCACAGCATGTTAAAGTGTATATTACAGTTCCCAAGGTAGCATTCACATCTATATTATACAATTGTTTTGGTTTAATATCACACACAAGCCCCTTCGGGGCTTGGGAGACAACCAGGGGCACTCAGAAACTATGGTTTCTATTCAGCCCCACACGCGAAGATAGGGTATTGACGAGAGTGTTGGATTTTTTAAGAGTGTCCCGACAGTTGTTTACGATTAGGATAATTTACTAGATGAGAATTCTGATTTTAACGGGTCTTTTATAAGCTGGGTTGCCTCCAAGCAAGTGGAAAACCATCAAGTTGAGGGAAAGTCGAAGGGAGAGAGAGGAAGAAGAACATGCCTGCTTGTAATGACTCGTCGAGTTGGCCGGAGCACGTGGAACGCACGTGTGGTTGTTTATGCACGTGGTGGTGACGTCAGGTTGAGAGAGAGTATGATGTGTTGACGTAAATGACAGTGACACGAGTAGAGAGATGCAGAGTGGAGCACGTCCTGCTAACATGGGATTAATACATAATTGCTTAAACACCTTGAAGTTTTGATATAGAAAGTTCAAATGGAATGTAAGGTAAAAATTACTCGATCAAAAAGTACCTCTAACTTATTTAAGAGTTATCACTTCCATAGTCCTTTAATCAGTCTTTTGACATATTAAGGTTTTGATTATGATTTAAATTATAATTTTTTTAATACTTTTACTGGCATAGCATGACTCCTTTTATAGGTTTTGTACTAGTGTGTTGTACTCTCTGATTCGCTAGATACCAACCAATTACAGTGTAAGCTATCAATATGTGACTGTACTCTGGAGTAGTTCATTTTCACACTAAAAAAGGGTGGCATTTGCCTCTTACACATTTATTCCTCTCTTTTCTGTATACAAACAAAATTATTTCATTATAGTTCAACTTAATGAAAATGATGTGAAGTATACCAAGTACACATGTATGCTGAGTTATTGTGTGTTGTTATGCTTCAGCATGAACAAGGATAGTAAAGTATACATGTATGTTGAGTTATTGTGTGTTGTTACGATTCAGCATGGACAAAGATAGTGAGTATACCAAGTATACATACATGCTGAGTTATTGTGTGTTGTTACGATTCAGTTTAGTGAGAACAGTGAATAGTAACAAGTAAATGTATAGATTGAGCTATTGTGTTTTATTATGTATGAATTTGATGAGAATATTGAAGATTGCTAGGTACGTGTATGTTTTTTTTATTATTATTATTGTGTTACATTATCTTTTAGTTAGGGGATAATGATGAGTTATACCCAACATTGGATATGAGGTATGATGAACTTAGTGCTTGGATGACAAATCATTGCATTCCACTGGTCAGAGAAATCACCTTTGAAAATGCTGAGGTATGGAAACTAACAATTAAAGCACATATTTAAGTTTAATCTACATGTTTTGAAGATATCAAAAAGACATATATATGCTTATCTTGAATTATTTATACCTATTTTCAATAATTAATATCTATTTGATGTATGGAAACTACAACTTGATAATTAATTTTGCCCCTCAGTAGCACAGCAGTAAGTCTGAAGGCTTATACTACTGCCAAACATTGGGTTTCAATAACCTTGTTGGGCATAGCACAGACAAGTTTTTTGCTTAACTACAAACAAACAAACAAGTAATTAATTTCTATTTGTTTATAAGGTGCCAGACTAATATGTATCCATGTTAGAAAACTGTAGCCTAATTCAAAATCTGTGGGTTCGCAGTGTACTTGTAGTGGTAATCAAAGGGTTAAATCATTTTTTTTATTTCCCCCTTTATTGATTTTGTACGTATTCTTTTAAAGGAAAAGTCAACACACGTTACGTGTATAATACTGTCTCTTCAGTTTTTAGCCTATGAGTTATTGTGTAAGATATATCATATTTTGTGGTTCCTTTGGTAGGAGTTAACAGAAGAAGGCTTACCATTTCTCATTCTGTTTCATCGCCATGATGATAGAGAAAGTGTGAAGACTTATACAGCAGAAGTTCTCTCTCAGTTGAGTGCTGATAAAGGTAAGTTAAATATTATTATGAATTTGTAGCTATAGAATTTGAAAATTTTATTATTACTTTTTTACATCATTATTTTTTTTTTCTTTCTGTATTTTATAATTTTAGCATACTTTGGTATTCTGGAAATAATAATTGTAAATCAGAATTGTTCCAAAACAAGGCATTGAGGTAAATACAAGATATGGCACTTTTTGGTATTGTTTTAATAATCATTACAATGAACTCAAGTGTTATATAATCTTGAGATTGTTTCAGTCTTATTAAATTAATGTTTTTCTAAACTCTCCTGTAAATTTTGTGGAATGTGCACTACTGTATGAGGAATCTAGCAGTGTTGTTCAACTTCAAAGCTGAAAAAAAACTGGAGGAGATACAGTGATTTTAGTTTTTATTGGTAGTTGGAGAATGTTTTTTACTAAACTTTGCCTGGGACATGGTGTTATTGTAGTATAGTATCTATATTTATCCTCTCAAAGCTAATATAATAAGTTTGTTCAAACTTCTTTGTGTAAGATGACTACAGGTTGACACCCTTTAAAGCTTCTACACTGGAGAAACCCTTAAAAAGCCATGGGTCAGAAGATGTGTACTGCAGAGTGACAAAACATAACCAGTTTTACTTGACCAAAAACTGTTTACAGAGAAAGAAATGAACTGAAAAATGATGAAGATAACAATGATAGCAAAAGCAAACAAGCTACAGAACATTGAAAATAGTGACAGTGATGATGATGAAGAAATAGCTGTAGAATTTAGAAAAAGTCATGAATTGCAGGTCATTGAAAATAGTAATGGTGATGATGATGAAGAAATGGCTGTAGAATGTAGAAGAAGTCACAAACTGCAGGTCATTGAAAATAATAATGGAGATGATGAAGAATGGGGTACAGAATGTAAAAAAATTACGGGCTGCAGGACACTGAAAATAGCGATGGTGATGAAGAACACACTGTTGAATGTAGAAGAAGAAGAAGTCAAGAGCTGCAGTACAGAACAATGAAACTGGTGAAGATGAAGAGTGCTATAGGTTATCAAAGGAGAAGAAGAAGAGTGGCTGCAGATTATTGAACGAGAAGAAAAGGAAGCTTCAAAATAATGCTTGATGCAGAATTATTTTCTAATAAAGCTGTTTTTATTGTGAACTCTTTGTGATCCAAACAGTTAAAGCTTGAGTTGAGCTGGCAAAATAACCATGACCAGAGTGGTTAATCTTGAGGAAGAGGTAGAAAAACACTATGATCACTATATTCATAGAAAATGCCACAGCAAATAGACTTCTCATATCAAATCGTATAGGTCTATTTTATTCCAACTTTTCTCAATTTCATGTGAACATGGACAATACTTTGTTACCAAAAATTACATAATTGGTCCTGTTGACTCAGGGATGTGTTGTTAATAATAATATATTTATTATGTGAAATTTTTAAATATCTCAAAAACTAAAAAGATTTTGAACCCACATGGTATTATTTTGATAAAGTGTAGGTTTTTATAAATTTGCCAAGGCTGAAAAACTCCTAGTATTATTGTAAACACATACTGTTAGCTTGAAACTTGAAATTAGTCAATGTTTTAGCCAGTTACAAAGTGTGGTACTTTTATTACATTTGATTCTAAAGTTAGAAGTAGGTTGTATATGTATGTGCTCATTCAAAGTCAAACCAAGCACAAATATCTGATATTTTCTATAGCTAGAAATTCAAGGACTAGTATGCAGAAGGACAGGGATGGAATAAAAGTCACAAGACGCTGGGTTAAAGTTAAATAAAAAAATACTTTATTGATGAAGAAACAAAAGAAATGGTTGATCATGTAGTGAAGCATTGCTCATTGATGATAAGTTACTGAAAAAAGATAAATTATAAAAAAAAAAGCAAAGAATGAAACTTATTTAAATAAAAAGAGAAAATTAACTGTACTTAAAGGTGAATTGAGGATTACTTACACAATCAATAAAAGTAATGGATAAAAGATTAAAACACAGATGAAACTTGAGTCCTTCAAAATAGAAAACATCTTTCTAAAAGCACCGATACTGTATTCACAAGTTACATTCTCTCTGTTGCTGACTAATCAGAAAATTGGATCAGAAGAATATGAAAATACGTCTGCTGCATGTGACAGTTGCAGAGCAGTCATGCACATGTAAGGCAAGCATTACCTAGCTTCCATGGTTAGACTTTACTGCAGGAAGTAACTTGCAAGGCTAATTTAGTACATGACCTCAACCAGAGGTGTTCCAAATCAGAACATAAAATTTTATAGTTGTGAAATGTACCCTAAGGAAAGTTAGATGTGTGGCATGCAAACCACATGTAATTTTTTTTCCGTTTCACTTATTGTCATGTAGCAACAAGACATGACTCCTATTGAGATAACACACCATCACATAAGTTTGTTTCAAAATCAGTTTTTCAATAGTTGGTTTTCAAGAGAATGCCAAAATATTATTCCTGCCTAGAAAATTAATTTCTTAAAAAAATATAGAGAGAGAAATTAATTGGAAAAACATGAATATTTCATATAGTATTAAAAAATTTGTATTTAATATAGTCTAGTTTAAAAACACCAGATAATCTAAAAATGGTTTTAAATTCAACAGTATTTACTGTTATAATTTTATTATTCATTATTGTTTTATTTGAGGTCTTCTCTTGCATTTGCACACGTTTTAACTGATGATAATTGATTTGGTGCATTAAGGAACAAGTGTTACATACAATCTAATTGTTGAAGTTTCCAGCTAATGAGCCAAAAAATTGTAGTTAAATAATAGTAAAATTGTGTACTAATTATAGAAAACTAGTAATGTTGTAAGTTTTAAGTAATTAAGCATTAGTTAATTTTAAAATAAGTGAATAAATCTCTTAACTGAATTACATATATTTGCTCAATGAAAATTTGAATAAACTTAAAGAAAAATATGCATTTTTCTCGCTATTTAGGTTCCATCAATATTTTAACAGCTGATGGTCATAGATTTACTCACCCACTACACCATTTGGGAAAGACTCAGACAGACTTGCCTCTTATTGCAATAGATAGTTTCCGCCATATGTATCTCTTTCCAAACTTTAAGGATATTATGTAAGTAAATACAGAGGGGCTTATTTTAATGCAACTGAATATATTATAAATGTTTTAAGTGCAAAATTTTATATATAGAAATATATCTATGTATATAGATACTTTTTATTATATATATATATATATATATATATATACAGTCAAACGGTTGTTAACGAGTTACATGAAAAAAACAAGTACAAGTCTAGTTCTTGGTTTATTCTAAATTTGTTGTAAGAATACTTCACAACCCCTCCCAAGTAAAGATGTTTATATAACATGAGCGTTCGATGACGTAGAACCATAAAGAGAGCCTTTTCTGTTCCCTTTGTAAGCACGAAACATCATACAACTGGGTGTTTTGGACAGCTCTGAAACCACAGCCCAAGCTAACCTACTGAATTGCCCTTATCTGCAAAGTGAAGGCTATGGTTATGAAAGACAATCAACCTAGAAATATATCGTATGAAGCTAGGCTGGTACTGTTACAATAATAATAACAAGGATTTGAAGTTCTAGACATCTTAAAATTAACTGCTGTTTTCATGAAAAAAATGGACAAAGAAACTGTAATGACAGTAATTCCATTCAGTCACATGCTTGTCAAGGGCTCTAATGCAGCAGTAGTTTTTGTATGTTTGGCTTGCTTCAATGTGGTCTTGGAATCCACGTCCACATACAGTGGAAGCTCTTCTTAAATTAATCAAGCTATTCTTTGAACAAGTTTGTTCCAGTGGAAATTGTAGTGTTGGGCAAAAGTGCTTTATCAAGGCCACAAGTTTGAGCACAACTGATAGTAAAAGGCAGTTCCATGGGTAGGATGGAATCTTGAACATCACTTATAAAATGTAGTTAACCTGCAGTATACTTTATAATACAAGTGCTTAATTAACCTTTACTTCTAGAAATTAAATTGATTCTTATTAATAAAAATGTGTTTATTAATTAAAAGCAAGAAACGAAAAGTAGCCTCTTTAGCCAAATGATTTGCATCTCAAGTTATTTTTCACCAACACATTTTGGGGTATTACAGTTAAACTACATGCAGAGGTCATCACTGCAGTTCTCTGTGCCTGTGGAAAGCATGTGTGTATTTTTGTTTTTACAGATAGCTTTTTTTCTTGGCAAATTAATTTCATAGTTTGAAAATGTATGTACAATTTTAACTAGATCTGTACTATCAGTTGATGTACCTACGAGCATCAGTTGCATCAATTTGCGTCAAATAACATTATCATTCAAAAGTATGATTAAATTGATTAATATTACAAAATTAATCAATAACTTGTAATTCGTGTATTGGATTACTCCAACTGTCGAAGCAATTTGAGTTTTGCCATTATTAGTTTCAATTAATTCAAGTTTACTAAGCTTAATTAATTAGTGGTGTGACACATGAAAATAATCAACTAATCAAAATTAATATTTCCCATTACTATTTTAAGTTATTTCAACTATTCAAGTCTCGTGTGAGAATAATTTATTAATTGAAGTTAATCTATTAATGAGCCTGATGATTAATCTATTATCAAATTCTACTAATTGCTTTGCTGTAATTTTGACCTAGTTATACTTTTACACAAAATCACAAGCAATAACAATATTAGGCATAGTTTAAACTCTCAAAACTGTGGCCTTGTTGGGATATAAAACTATGTATATTCAAATAGTTTTATATTCCATCGAGGAAACTACATATATATACACCTGGAAAAAAGTTAAGCA